GCCAAATTGAAACCTAAAAGTTTCTATACGTAGGAATTTAGTTACCGTAGCGAGTCGTAAACTTTGACTTGCTTTGTGGTGAGAGATGCAAATTAAGACGAACTGAAGAGGTGGATTGGGTTGATAAAGTGAAAATAATAGCGTAGATATAGAAACTATTAAATCAGACACTTTACGGAAAATTTTCCACATGAAAAAATTTTGTATTAAAATTACAACAAAAAAACAAAAAATAAAATAAAATATACTCAAAAGAAATGAAAAATAAAAAATTTCCCAAGCACAAAAAAATCAAATATATTTATTTGTAGATATATTTATATATATTTTTTCATAACTAAAAGAGTAGATCATTTATTTGACAATAGTTTTTTTTTTGTTTTTCATTAAAAAACATTTTTGCAAATCAACTGCAACAAATCATGTTGATTGCTGTTGTTGTGGCAACACTGGCGACATCAATTTACAGAGCAGGCATGAAATATTGCCTTTCGAATGGGGCATAAATAAGCGTTTCGAATGCCATCTTGCGCGCGTCTTGATTGGTGTAACCACTTTTTAAGCGCTTCCGTAATATATTTATTTGTTTCATTCAAAGAAATAAGTAAAAAATATCTTTTGAATGCAGTTAAAGTAAATAAACTAAACACAATATTAATGTACAATAAATAATATTTTGATTATGTTTACTTATTAAGTGAAGCAGTAAATGGGGTTCCTGTTCACTCTATTCACTCTATTATTTGATTTTTATATAAAATAACTTTGGGACTGCATTTCTCAGAAGGAAGAAATTAAAAATCATGTATAAAAACCGTTAAATTTGAAATAATTTATAATCTACAACTTAGTAGTGGACAATTTTTTTATAAAAAATGTTGTTTTCTTGGTGTTCTGTTTTCTTCTTATTGTTTTCCCTTTTTTCTTTCTGTAAGTATTAAGAATATTTTTAAAATTATTGGTGTTAATAGCTGCCATCCTGCTTTCTGCCCATTTTATATACGTACGTATACTTATCACCTGAGTTAGACATTGATTGCGTATATGAATGGAATGAAAAGGCTTAACTCATAATTGCTAAGAGCCCAATAATGCATTTTCTTTCATGTAAGATATCATAAGTTCAATAAATAATGCTGAGTAGTTTTTTTGCAATACTACTATGATCTTGATGGTAAAATGGCCACAATAATTAATTATAATAATTTTTGCAATATGTACATTTGCGTAAATATTAGAACAGAAGGTGATAAAAGTAATAGCAACTATAGTAGCAGCTACTCCAACTAAAACGGAATCTGTTTAGCACTACGATATCGGAGCTGACGGGTCACTGCGTGAGAGAGAAGTATGTTATGAGACTAGGTATTCCTTATAATGACCTTTGTCGCGATTGTGGCTCTGAAGATGAGGGGGAAACTGTGTTCCATCTCATGTGTCAGTGTTTATCAGTGTTTATAAGATCAAAAATCTTGGCGGGCCCTTTTCTGACCAATTTGACTGAGCTGTCATCTCACACTTTTAGTGACCTGGTCAAATTCATAGAATTGTCGGGCTGGGTTTACTTCCCCAAAATGGGTGAGTCATTGTCTTTTTCGGCGTTGATCGCATACTGATCACCATGTCTAAGTATGAACCAATACTATTCCTGTGGTACCACAACGGACCATTATTTGATCTCAAGTGGGCTTTCTTGGTACGCAAGACTGCCACTCCAACCTGGCCTAACCTATCCTTTAGTATAGCATTGATTTATTTTACTTTATCTTACTTTATCGTAGTCATATATTTACTTACATTCTCATAAGCGCATACGAGCACTAAAATTACAATAACAATAATTGCTAGAGCAGTAAATGCAGTGAAAAAGGGAAAGAGAAGAGTAGTTGAAAAGAGTCGTTAAAATCATAGTAAATTATATTATAAACATAAATAGTAAATATTTAAGACATAAGAAATCAAAAGACATAAACTTTTAAATCCCATATTTTCTATATAGAATAAACAAAAATAAAAAAAAGAACACAAAAATAAATCCGTAACCGGCGATTCATTAAAGTTTAGACATTGTTGACCCAGAATTTGTGTGCATCGTTAAGAAAACCAAACAAAAGCTGATTTCACAAAAGTAAAATAATATAAAAAAGTTATTTTTTTTTTAAATTAAAATAAAACAAACGAAAGTAAAACAAATTGCAGGAAAAACTTAATTTAATTGATTGAAATTGTACACTCAAAAAAGAAAACTTTAAGCTCACATGCAAAGGAACACACGCACTTACACACACATATATATGCGTATTAAAGTTGAGTTGCCCACTCACGCATACACTTTTAAGGTATTAAAATCATATAAGAAAAGTCGGCCAAACATAGACCGCAGTGGCACAGCAGCAGCAGCAGCAGCAGCATAGGCTGTGATACTGCGATACTGCGAGTATTAAATTGTCAATGTAGTTCTTGTTGTTTAGTTGTTATTGTTTTCATTTTTGTTGTTGCTATTGTTAATGAAGTGAACATCAAAAACTTCAACATCGACGTCGACGTTGACGTCGTCACCAATAAATTCAGTGTGCAGCTTCCAAACATGTTTAGAGAACCTGTGTAACTTGCAATTAATTCCTAAACAAAGACAAAATATGAAGAAAGCAACAACAACAACAATAAATGAATAAAAAGTGTATGTTGAAGAGAAGAAAAAAAAAATTTAACATCAAATAAAATCAAATGAAAATGAAATCAAAAAAACGAAATGAAAATAAAATTAAAAACTTTTCAATTCACTTTCACGCGTCGTTGTGTGACTTTGACGAATGCGCAAGGCGCGACATTTTTATGAGTTAAGGCGCCGCAATGCGTTTCGATTGGAGTATTTTAAATTTGTGTTAATACGCCATTTTCAAAATTTTTGCCACTTCATAAAAAGTAGAACATACGCAAATTTATCGCATGCGTAATCGATAAATCATCAATTAAAGTTGTCAAGTTGTCGCTGGGATATGTGCCACAAATCTGACAGCTACCATTTCATAAAAAAAATCTACAATTGGCTCAATTAAATTTTCTCTAATAACATAAAACATGTTTCCAATATTATTTTTTTTATTTTTTAAGTTTACTATGCAAATTAATTTTTATTTTCATTTTCATTTTCATTTTTATTGCTAGTGCAAGCTAGTAAAGTCTTTAAAGGCTCTAAGTTATCGAAAATCATAAAATAGCAACATCAATTGCAACCACCCACTTTGCCGCATTTGCCGCACTTGTCTTTACTGCTTTTATTTATAATATTATTATTGTTGTTGATGTTGTTGTTGTTGTTGTTGTTGTTGTACTTCTGACATTTCTATGTTGAGATCGTTACAGGCGAAATTGGGATTTATGCATTTTTAATTCGAGCGGTGCATAGATTGTGTGGGTGTATATAAATTGCTGAAAGGAAAACACATTTTGGCTGCGTGCGTATTGTGTTGAGTTGTGCTGTGTTGTGTGTTGTGTTGTGTGTTTTCTATTTAATGTGACCGATACTTGGCTTTATGGCTATAATATTTTATTTGGAGAAAAATAAAAAAATGCTTATAAGAAAATAACAACTAGAGAGCAAACTAAGGTAACAAATCAATTGGAACTCGATTCCACTTACAGTTTTGTCTGGTAGTTTATGTGTCACGATGCTGCTGATTTGTTTATTTTCGTATTTTGTCAAGGCATGATTAATATGCTTATGTAGATATGCTTATGTTTCCTTACAAAAATGCTCACATATGCAATATAAATTAAACTAATATCTTTTTCAGAGTAGCGGAAAACTTTTTATTTGTAAAAATATACATACAATTTGAAAATTTACGAAGACATGCATTTGCATAGCAAAGGTGGATAGTTCGCTTTTGAAGAACCATGGTTTACCTAATTAATTGATTGATTGCTGTTTATTTAACGGCAAATAGTATTGAATATATTATTACATAGTCTATGCATCAAGTAAGCGGAAATGTGGCATAGTTTATTTTGCATCAGAAAATAAATTACCTCTACGAAATTCAAGAATATGAGTAATCGCATCCTGATGCGATTTGTTATATAAAGAATTGAGAAGTATATTTACTTTCTAGCATGAAACTCAAATATTAGTATGTACTTCAAATATTCAAGAAAAAAAAAACAACAGCAAAAAGTTGGCCAAATTCTTATTTAATACTGGATCCACATGAGAGTTTTGTTTGTAATTTTAGCTGTCAATTGTTGTTGCTTTCAGTTTAAAATGAAATTGTTTTGACAGCTAAAATTACAAACAAAACTCTTATGTGAGTCCAGTATAAATATGTAGTTAACATTCTAATAATATTATTTATTTATTTATTTATTATAATTACTTACAAAATATAAAATCTTATAACTAAGATAGGAAAAAAACGAGCGCTAGCTGCCTTGGCCTTCAGCACGGATATTATAAATTAAATTTTATTGACTAGATTACAGACTTTAATATATTTATATATCAAAAGTATGTTTTTAACAGTACTTGTTTTTAATAGGCTGGTAGGTAAGATCTAAATTTTTATAATATCATTCTTTGCTTTTAAAATAAGACACAAGATATGTTTCCGAAATAATATAAATAATACAAATAAAGCGTACAGTCTGCTTTTTATTTCAAAACGTAAAATTAATTAATGTACTTTCTTTCAGAACTAAAACTTCAAAAATGCCAGTTATATTTTGCAGGCAAAAATAAAACTCCACTCCTTTTTGTAACTCATTTATTAAATTTATTTCAAAAGTGATTACAACATAGAGGTTGTCGTATATTATAATCATATATTATAAATTTTTTTAGAGATATTACTATAAATAAAAAATATTATATGGATAAAGTGCCAACAGTATGTTGCTTATAGGAAAATTGTTTTATTTGAATTATTTTGAAAAAAATAAACTGCATTGATAAAAATATCAAAATTCTAAAAAAAAATTTTTCAAAAAGTAATTAGAACAACTTAATAAGTCACAATGATATTGCATATATTGCTGCTATTTAGTATTTATGTAGTATTATGCTTTGGTAGTAGCTGCAAACCAAGTGATTGTAATCATGCCGGAGAATGTATTGGTTCGAATCCAACTTGTAAATGTTTTTCAAATAAATATTTCATTGGAAACAAATGTCAGCAAATGGTGGATAATTGTCAACCAAATCCCTGTAAAGGTGGACCATGCAAAACCCTAGTAGGCGGCTATTCATGCACTGCAAATTTTAATGTGGTTAAAGAATGGTACATACATTCCAACTTATATGGAAATTATGGTGAAGAACAGAAGATGATACTCGCATTCAAAGAGTTAGATGATTGGAATCGTGCAATTGAGATTACAACTGACAATTACTTCATTGATGGTTTTGAGGCAAATCCATCAAATAATGATAAATATTTTAAATATTCAAGTGATTTAATGAGTATAGCAGAGGGATTGGGTCTACATCATACCGATAAATTTCCTTTTAATAGTGGTTATTATCATATAACGCAAGCTAATTTTTGGATAATAGGGAAACGTGATGTTGATATCATTATAAGTGTAAATGATGAAGAGTATTTTTTTTATAGAACTTTAGAATTTTATGTTCTTCAGCCGGAGGAAATCAGTTGTATACCAGATGTTACATTTCCTCATTGTATGGATCCATATGATCCTATATTTCTAGATATTAAACGATTTAATATTTTTGAACCCGAAATACTGGAAACATGTGGGAAGGATGCTGCGTACACTTTTCGTTGGTGGACGTTTGATAGTACAGAAACAAGTAAGCATGTAAATGTTTTGAGATATATAAACTTATGTTATATATTTCTGTCCGAAATATGAAAATATGAAATATTTTTAGTTCTTTTACATTTCTTTGGACGTACTAATGAGACGAGACTTAGAGTTCCTCCTTATCGCTTATGGTTTGGTTCACACTTTGAAATCACTATGGGATATGTAGTACGTTTTGAGTTCCGAAGTTCTGTGGAAGATTCTTGTGTAGCACGAGTAGCCAGAGTAAGTTTTGTAAAATTTGTAAAATTAATTGATAAGGAATAGTTTAATTATTTAGTTGAAATTTATTTATATTATAGTGCTACTTTAAAGTATATCCAGAACCAATCTCTGGTAAGATTGCTGGTGGCGAGGAACGAGAAGTAGGTGTAAGACAAACTTTTAGATTAGATGGATCAAAAAGTCGTGATTTTGCTTTAGCTCCTAATGTTGAACAAAAAATGATATTTAGATGGGATTGTTCATCAGATGATGATCCAACAAATAGTTATTGTCAAGATAATATTGGCACAAGTAAGTTTGAAACTCATTACCACTTATTTGTAAAAACAAATTTGTTCATAATTTTACTGAATTTGAAATTGATTTATCTGTTAAGTGTACTTGTTGCTTTTTAAATACTATTTTCATGTTCAAAGAAAATCGAACATTTTAAGTAATGTATTGAGAGAACTAAGTCAAGTTACTTGAACTACGTCAATAACTAGATCGATCAAACGCTGAGTGTTAATACGTAAAGTACTAACGGGACCAATATAGTTAAAGATTTTTTATTAAAAGTAGATTTAAAAGTAATCTTTTCTCCCAGTAAAATAATCACATTCATATTTACATATATATTTACATATTATATTAGAAAAAGGATAATTATAGCCGTAACTATAATTTAGTGAAATGGATGTTTCTAAAATATAACTTAGCCGAAGAAAGAAGTCTATAAAGATATAACTTGATGTATGTAAATGATCTCTAGTAGAA